ACCATCACAGACCTGACCACCTAGCTCATGTCAGCAACAACATAACCCTTTTTCTGAATATTTATGACCAGCAGTTGGTTGAATCTGCAGACGTGGAACCGCGGATATGGAGAGCTGGCTGTATTTTAATAAGTTATTCTTTCTAGGTGGTTTGATTTCAGTTTGCTGTTCTGTGCTCCTAGTTTCCATCATCCTTTGAGCAGTGTTGTTATTGAACCCTGATAAACTAGATTTGTTTTTCTCACATAAAGAATATAAAGAAGTTGGTGTCTCAATTAAGCCCTAGTTAGTTTATTTTACATATTTAAGGAGTATTTTATAGAGAGGCTTTCCATCACGGTGAGTTTCAGATGCTTCAAAACATCTACTTGAAAACTCTCTTTTCAAACAGTACATTTCAACTGATATGTCTCCCTTTTTTTGAAGTTTAGTATGACTGCAGCAGGCTTCTTTCATAGTTACTGGCTCTAAACCCCATAGTAGCTGTATTTCCACCAAAACCAGAGGAGTTACACTAGATCAACTCATTTTGCTAAAATTTCCAGCTCTAAAGAGAAAAACATTACACTTGAAGATGGAAGTCCTGATGCACATGAAAATATACTGTAATGAGTAACAGAAATCCTGGGAAGAGTGGAGCAGGCCTGAGCAAACAGTCCATTCTCACCGCATGAGCTACTCGGGACTAACTCCCACCCCAGATCAGTGCAGAACGTCGTGGTGGAACTCAGAAGGACAAAGACACTCCTGGAGCCTTGGCCCCAGCGCATACATACTTAGTCAGACACGTGAGACATTTCAAAGAAAAAGTCATCTGCAAACCCAGAGAGCTGCTCCTGCCGCAGCGACTGTGGCTGGGAAACGGCCGTCCTTGCGAGCCCTCCCCGCGTAGCCGTGTCGGCAGCCTTTTCAGTTTGCGTCAGAAGAGATTCCAACCCAACACGAGGATTCTGGTTGGAGTTATTTGAAAATCAAGTTTCTGAAGAAAAAATAAATTATGTTTCATCTAAAGGTGAACTGCGTTTCCTTTTGCCAGGAAAGGCTGGCAGCGAGGCGACTTTTTCTCAGCAATGAGAGATGAATGGTCCCCATCAGGCAGGTGTTGACATACCTGTGCTCATTGTAGGTCGTGTTGAGATGATGTTTCCCTCTTTCCAGCATTAGGCTATGTCTCACTCCTCCCCCCCCGCCCCCCCATGAATAACCTGGCTTACATTTCATGATTGTTCTCTTCTCACCCAGGACAACTCTTGAGAAAGAGAACCGTATGCGGAATACGTGGGATTTGTGCACATGGAAACCAACTGCTCTGGCATCCCAGGGCACCTTCATACAGCGGTTCTCAACCTTCTGGCCCTTTAAATACAATTCCTCATGTTGTGACCCAACCATAACATTATTTTCGTTGCTACTTAATAACTGTCATGTTGCTACTGTTATGAATCGTAATGTAAATATCTGATATGCAGGATGGTCTTAGGCGACCCCTGTGAAAGGGTTGTTCAACCGCCAAAGGGGTCGCGACCCACAGGTTGAGAACCGCGGATGAGGAGCTGATGGGGAAACAAGGGACCGGAACTGACATTCGTGGACTGACTGACGATTTAGCAGAGAGTGAAGTAGGCATTACATACATTACTTTGTGAGCAAGCAGAAGTGCCTGGTACATTTTTGCTAACAAATCCTTATTTTATTTTTAACAATGTTTTTATTTTCAAAGAATAAAATAAATTATGTTTCATCTAAAGGTGAACTGCATTTCCTTTTGCTAGGAAAGGCTGGCAGCGAGGTGACTTCTTATCCCAGGAAGGGGGAGAGAGAGAGAGAAAGGGAAAGAGAGAAACATCGGTGAGAAAGAAACATCATCAATCGGCTGCCTCCTGCACGCCCCCTGCTGGGGGCCAAACCTGCAACCCAGGCTTGTGCCCTGACCAGGAATTGAACAGGCAGCTTCCTGGTGCACAGGACGACGCTCAACCAACTGACCCTCACTGGCAGGGCAACGGATCCTTATTTTAAATCAAACTGCAGCACAGTGTTTGAAGACTGGTCCTTGTAGGTAGGGCTAGTGTGTGGTGGTGGACAATGGCTTTCTTGAATTTCATTAATACATTTATTTCTGCCCCCAACTATACACACAACTGAGTCTGAGTCATTAAAAATTCTGTCTCTTTTGATCTGCTGGGAACTTTGGATTTTATTCTAAGATAAAATTTTATTATGTAAATACACACCTGAGGGACAACCCAAGCAAAACATCCTATTAGTAACCAGTTTACTCATTTCCCTATGTGAAATTACTCATTTTAAACCTTGACTGAGTTTAGGTTCTGGAAAGTTCTACCATCTTAACACAGTCACA